CCTCGGCCTGGTCACCACCCCCCCGGCCTGGCCACCGGCCACACAGCGGGTCCATGGGACCCCGAAAGGAGAACTTGACCCGCCACAGACGTTACCACACCCGACTGCAGCAGAACTTGGACCTTGAGCCTGCTCTGAAAGTCTCTGGTGAATGATTAACGCAGGAACGGCTCTGGTTAAACAGCCTGGTTTCTGCTGAGCTCGCTGTGGCCGCCGTGTCCTTGCGTTAAGTCTGTTACCCCCCGTGCGCTTCCTTGGCTGGAAACAAGAAATCCGTCCATACAAATGAATAACATTAGATTTATAGAAATAGTCTTTGAAAGGACGTGGCGATGGAGCTCAGCACCCTTAAACGAGTAACACCTTGCCTCCTAATTAAAGTTCTTACAAATCTGGAACTCTTAGGATTTTCTTTCTCTCTCATCTATGCTTCTCGGCTTTTATTTGGGTAAGAATCCTACTTTATGAGGTTTTTCCTGAGTTTAAAAGCAACTCTTTAAATAACTGAAAGATAACTTTTTTATTACTGCATTGTCTCAGAGTGGAATTTCCCTCCCTCACCTCTTCCTTAGGAAGTGGTTGTTTGTCTTTTGCTGCATATAACTTGCTATGTGAAAGATTTCTATTAAAGCTCAGGGCAGTTTGTTGCAGCTCTTGCGTTAGTCCCTGCGTCCAAGAATCTTCTCTCTGCTCCAGTTTTTTGGGCTCCAAAATTGTGCCCAAGCAGGGCCTGGCAGCGTCTGCAGCTCCGCGTTAGTAAATATTGGCCTTATCTGATGCAGCCACGGGCCCAGATCAGATTGCTGGCTACTGCTTTATTAATCAGTGCAAGAATTTATTTTTAGTTTTGCGAGTCCCGTCATCTGTTTTCTTTCTCACATTACAGTTTCTGTGCTGCTGGTACAGAAAATGAGCCCTGTTTAAAAATTAAAGGGGATTGAGGAGGTTCGGTGGAACATGTTTGGCGCTGCCGTGGTTTTCTGTGACAGCTGATGGATGCTGCCTTAAAAATGCTTTTGTCGGAGATTCATAACATACAGGGTGGAATTTCTGGGTCTAAATTAGCTGGCTTCAGAGCTCTGCGCAGAAAGACGTTTCCATCTTTTTCTGGTTTTAATCATTTTAATGAAAGGAAGTTCTCAAGTTATGTATTCCTCATTTAAAGTCCTAGGCTCCCAGCCTGTATTGCAGTGTTTGAGTTTTTTAGTAGAAGAAAGGAGCTGCTGGGCCTCAGACTTTGGATAGAATACAGCAATTTACAGCAGATTTCTTCATGGGAGGAGATGGGGCCATGCAAACGGCAGCTCCCATCAGCACAGCGCTCGTTCCTGGAGCTCCTCCGCGCTGAGCAGGGCAGATCCGCGGCGCAGAAATTAGGGTGAGCGCGTAATTAAAGCAGCGTTGGGGACATCAGAGCAAGGTGACCGGGTTGAGCTGTGTTCTGCCGTCGCTCGCATGCCGAGCGCTGGGCTGGGCAGCCTGCGTGTGCTGTTGGCGCTTGCTGCCCTTCACCGAAGGCGGGTGACTTGCGGCAGCAGAGCCACGGTGCGGCTCACGAGCGGACGGAGCCTGACGCTTGCGGTGCCGGCTGGGAGCTCTGGGTAACGCCGTGCTGCAGCACTGCAGGGGTATTTCTGACCGCACAGGAGCGATGGGACGGGTTGGAGCTCTTCTCCAGGCTCTGCTCCTGCCTGGGTGGGCTTTTCCCTTCCTTCCCTTCGCCTTGGGCTGACTCATTCAGCTTCGCCCCCCCACCCCAGCCCGTGCTCTGCTCCTTCCCACAGCAATTCCAGCACCTTTCGGAGATTTGCTGCGTTCCTCTCTGGGGTTTTTGCGAATGTTCAAGAGCTCTGGGTTTTTTTAAAACGTGTGACCAGATCTGGTTGGACTTTCTTGAGGAGAGGGAAAGGAATTTTCCATGCAGCGCCAGCCCACGCTGGGGAGCGGGGATGTTCTGGAGAGTTCCCAAGTGAAGGCACCGAAGTCTTCAAAAAGAAGTGTTATTTTCTAGCTTCAGCTGGAAAGAGGCTGGAGCCCTGTGAAAACCGCTTTCAGTTCAGCACACAGCAGAGGAATTGCCTTGGCAAGGTTTAAAACGGGGTGAAAGCAAAGCCAACGAAGGGGCCTTAGAGGAGGAGAGGGGTGAAGGCAGCGTGGGGCAGGGAGCTCAGGGCTCGCTGTGGGGTTTGCACTTGGGGTAAGATCGGGCTCTGAACTTTGGCGCAGCCGCCCTTGCGGTGAGGAGCAGCTCAAAGGTGCTGTTTATTCTTGGGAAGCTATTTTTTGTTAAACTCACCCTCCATTTGTAGGTGGCCTGCGTGTTTACACGGGAAAACCCAATCCTGAAATCGGTAGATCCTCCTTTCCTAAAATGCTGGGGTGAAATGGTCATCGGTTGCTGTAAATCTACATAAATCTATGGCTTAATTCGCACCGCCTGTTGCATCATGGTGCGCAGGATCAGCTGGGAGCCCTTGCAGGACTCGGAGCCGACTCCAGGAATGTGGCAGTGATGAAAACGGGGTGGGCAGGGCACGCTGGAGGAGTCTGTTTGCAAGGCTGGGGGAGTTGTGCAGAGACCTGGCTTCAGAGCTGCGGGAGGGAGGCGGTGGTGCCCTGGGCAGAGGCTGTGACACATCCATGGAGCTTGACGTGCATTTCACAGAATTCACTGTTTAACTTTGTTGGAGTCCACCAGACTTTGGGTGCAGAGCTGTAATATCAGAGCACAGGAGCAGTCCACTTCCTGCCATCGCAACATCGAGTTTGCCGCTATCCCGTAGGTGTTAAAGTACTTCTTCTCCCTTTCTCCAGCAGCCCCGGCATGAGGTCAGATGTGAGCTCTTCTCCATCCACAGCCTCAGCGGCGACGGGACCACCTCCCAAACTGTGCCTCGTTTGCTCTGACGAGGCCTCGGGGTGCCACTACGGGGTCCTGACCTGCGGCAGCTGCAAGGTGTTCTTCAAGAGAGCTGTGGAAGGTGAGACGCACTTGGTTTATTGCATTTCTATTGGTATTTGTCTTTATTTGTACGTATTTATATTTATATTCCACATTCCAGCCCGGTCTGTTCAGTCTCACTGGAATCCGTGTATTTGCTGGAATCCTGCTGGAAGATCCCGTGCATGACAGCGCTGATCTTTCCCCCTTGGTGATGGTGTGGTTGTCTGACACACACATTTACATTTCTAAAATGCTCCCATTCACTCCCGTGTAAAAGGACACATTGTTGTCTTGACTTTTGGCTGCTTTCGGTTTCTTTCACTGCTGTTTTGGTTTAGTTGTCCTGTTTACGTACGGATATTTGTGTGTTACATTTGTAAAGTTTGTGATTTTTAAGTTTAGTGTTAGTTTTCTGTATGAAACTGTACTTCAAACTCCGTAAATCTCTGGTACGCAAAGCTACAATAGTCCCACCCTTTCTCCTAAAAGAACATTGGTCGTACTACATCCGTGTCCACACGTGGTCTTTGCAGGGGTAGCCGGGTAACAGCAACACGTCTGTGGTGTGGTTTTACCCCTCCTCAAGCTCAAACAACTCACCAAGTATGGATCCATGAAGAAATCAACCCAGTGATTCCTTTTGATCCCACATCTTTATCAGCTGTGTTAATGGTGAACACACAACCAGGCCCCTCGCTGCAGGACTGAATTCCTCAAGGCTCACCTCTGCTTTCCCGTTCATTGTCCGCAGATCGATTAATCCTTCCCATTGGACATTGTGAGTGTTGTCAGGAGCAGTTCCAGGATCTGTTAGTTGTAGTGTTCCCTTCAAGGAACAAATCATCTGCTTTTGTCTCTTGCAGGCGCTTTCCTCATTAGAAACACATGTGGAAAGGGGCTGTGCGGTGTCCCTTGTATCAGTGGCTGCTGTTACTGTTAGTGGCAGCTCAGGCTGGCTCTGCACGTTGGTTATCCAGCCTGGCACCTCTCCTGGTGCCTTTGTCCACACATCACACATGCTGTGACAGAAGTAGTCGTAGAAACTGAAAGTGTCGGTATCTAGACAATCAAAATAAACTGTATTTCTTGCAGCGAAGAGTAGAAGTGGAGAGTGGAGGAGGAGGATGAAGGCAGGACAGCAGCTCTATTTATGCGTGGTTCCTCATGCAAACGGGCTTTTCTTCAGAAGCCCGGGGTGCCAAAGCCACCTCGTTCAGTTCTCACTTGTCCAGTTCCTATTTCCACGGCGCTGCACAGCCCTCACAGCTCGGGTTCTGCGGTCCCAGCCCTGTTTCCCCCAGCCCCGACCTTCACCGCTCCTTCCCCTCCTCTTCCTCGCGCTGCCGCAGCTCCCCACACCTCCCCTCCTCCAGCTCCCCACGCCTCTGCCTCCTGCTGCGCCCCGCACTGTCCTCACTCAGCGTTTGGACTTCCCCCTCCCAAAACCCTTGTGTGCAGTTTTGGACCTCGTTATGTACCAGTGCGCTCAGTTGAGCAGAGACCCATTCGGTCTCCAAGGCCCCAGGCAGCTGCTTGTGCTGCAGGCAGCGATGGTGGAGTGTCCTGGCTCTGTAAAATGCTCCTTCTGCTGTGAATTCCTGTGGAAACACCTCCATGTGCTCACCACTGATTGTTACCAGGGTTTGGTTTGCGAAGGATCCGTGGTTTTTGAAATGCATTCGTTCCTGTGTGCACGCAGCATCTCCTCCGGGCAGCAGGCACACACGGAGCAGAGCTGGACTCAGCTTCGTTTCTCACCAGTGGCAAGAAGGCTTTGATAAGGTGTAATACAAAGAGGTAGTGTGGCTTTCACCTGAAAAAGGAGTAAATACAAGAAACTGGGCTGTTTGTTGGGAAAAAACCGGAACAACTCAAAAATGGACACTGCAGCATCAGCGTGGGCTGCATGGGCTCGGTTGAGCATCTCTGAGGCACGAGTTGCAGTCCCTGCTCTGCCGCAGCGACGACTGCTGTTGGTTTGTATTTGGTGTGTGTGCGTGCGTATTTGTTTGACACGTATCCCCGTGCTGATGGCAAACAGAGCCGTGAATCATGGCTGTTTCCGAGGTTATCTCAGACGCGGAGGTGACGCGAGGGTCAGTAAGGCTTCCTCTCCTCCACGTGAGAGAGAAAGGGGAGCTCATTCAGAAAAACGCTCAGGAACAGCAAGGAAATGGAACCGCTTCACTGGAGAGGTTTGACTGAAGCCATAGGGATGGCCTCTGCCTACCCCTAACGCCACAGCTGACTTGAGACACGTTCCTCGCCCGCGCGCTGAGGCTCCATCGTTGATAGCTCGGTGTTTGGGAAATGCGTGATCCCAGCCTGAGAGAAGGATCCGTGTTTTGGTTACTCCTTTCTCTAAAGCTTCCTTGAGACAATTGCTTGTATCGCTGAAATAACCAAGAGTTGAAATAATCAGTCTCCTGTTGTCCTGCTCTTAACAGCCAAGGAACAGTTCCTGAAGTGAGGTACAGTAAATAAAGACAGGGTATAGCCACAGGTCGCTAACGCCACAGACTGAACCACTTCATCTGCTGCTCCGACTGCAGAGCTCACCGCTGTTTGTCTCTGTGACCCTAGGGCAGCACAACTACCTGTGCGCTGGGAGGAACGACTGCATCATTGACAAAATTCGGAGGAAAAACTGCCCGGCGTGCCGCTACCGGAAATGTCTGCAAGCCGGCATGAACCTGGAAGGTAAGGCTGGGTGCTCAGAGCCCTCATTGCTGGGTCCTGGACAGTGACGGCCACGCTGCTGAGGAAGCTGCAGCAGTTATGTGAGCAGCGCTTTAATGTGTGAAAAGTGGGTGCTATGTTTTACGGCATGTATGAGGATTTTAATGGAAAACAAGACTTTTAATGCTAAATTTTCTCCTGTACTTTCCTGTCCGTGCTCAGTAGCGCGGTCTCTCGGGATGCTCGGCAGCAGTGAGTCACACACACAGACCAGAGGTGGTTTTTGGTCCTGTTGCTCCTTCGCTGACGCTGAGACAGCAGGGCCCTGGCAGAGCTGTGGGGACGTGGGACGCTGCCTGTCCCCACTCGGAGTGACCTGGCTCTGGAGCCACGGATGTGGAGCTGGCGTCTCCGCACTAAAGAGAAGGAAATGATTTCTGGTCGTGCTGTGGATCCCTGTGAGGTGTCTGTCAGCATCTCTCTAGAAAAGAGAGGTTAATAAGCCAGTGTGAATGTACCAGTGCATAATTGTTCTCTGCTAAGCCCTGGATGGCTTGTGAGGAACTGAAAACCGCATCAGATAGAGATTTAGCAGCAGCTGTAAAATGGCATAAAACATTTTTATTAGTGTCAGCTGTGGTTTATGTTGGATATTTCTTCCTTGAGCTGTAGAGATTAATAGAGTATTAGTGGCACAGTCATCGTGGTGACACTTGTGTCATCAGAACTGTCAGATAAAGCGAAAACGTCAAAAATGTATTTGTCAGATACAAGTATGAGCAGGCTCAGCCCAGCCAGTGAAAACACCCCTTGGCAAACGCAAACTGTGCTCGAGAGGCGAGAGACCCGTCCGGGGGCTGTGTTCGCACCTCCTCGCTGCCCCTCTCAGGGGGACGAACCCCAGTGAACTTCCCGGTTCCTGCGTCAGTTTTAAAGCAGACACCAACGCGGGCTCTGGGTCGCGTTATTTGCGCTGCCCTTTCTGCACCAGAGAAAATTCAAACCGAGAGCCATCTGATAGCTGCCGCTTTCCCGCGTGCAGTTTGGAGCCCTCCCGGCTGGGGTTTATTTGCCTGAATTTTGGCACCCGGACTGGTGGAGATCAGCGGCGTTTTGGAGGAGGGCTGTTGTTATATAAGGGCTTGGGCAAAGGGGGTGGGGGGGGGAGCTTTTAGGACTGCGAGGGAAAAGAGATCTGGAAACTCGGCAACCCAGAAATGGAAGCACCCAGGGTAGTGTGAAACGGTGAAAAGCAGCTGTGAAGATGACGATTTTGGGACGGAGCGGAGCAGATGGTGAAGTTGGTACAGAGGAACGCGCAGAAAAAAAACCTGGGAGGCAGCAGAAAGTGCAGGGGGGATGAAAAGAGCCCCTTTTACCTGGGCTGGTTTAGGGGCCCAGCCCAGGAGTTGCTGTTGTTTAAGATACAGTTAAATTTTGCATACTTTTTAGGGAGTGAGTTCTTTCTGAGAAGCCATCAGGTGCATCCTCAGTGCATAAATCATGGCTGTAAGCAAACAGCTACAGACAGAGATGGAAATTCCCCAGCGTGGCAGGCTCCTTCCATCGGGCTGTGTGCACGTCCCGTTTGGGCGTCTCTGGGCTGCAATCCCTGCTCAGAACGTGGTCCCTTTGGTGATTTTTCTCACACAGACTGGGCTGTTGTCAGTTCTCACCTTTGGCTCTGCTCATCACCCTTGGGTTTATGGTCCTGGTGGTTTTTGGGTGTAGGGGACTGGAAAAGCACCCAGCTGTCCATCCGCGGGGATTCCTGCAGTAGAGTGATGGTCTTTTGTGCCATAGCCTTGGTTTCCTTGAGTCCTCATTTCCGCTCATCGTTAATTGACCCTGGGCGCTCCTGGGCACCCTGTCCCTTTTTTTCTTTGGGAAAAAAAGATGTATCGTTAGCTTTGACGCCTGTAAAAAGCCATCTCGTCGTTTCTGGGGCCTTTCGTGCTGCGTGTTGCAGTTAAACTGTTGGCAGTTTATGGGCTTTCTTCTTCATTTCGCATTCGTTTCCGTTTCCGAAGGCTCTGTTCCTCTCTCCAGCTCCCCTCGCCCTGCTCTGTACCCGCGCTGGGTGCTGAGGCTGTAAATCCCAGTTCGGAGGGAGGTGCATGGGCAGCATTTGGGCTCAGCACGGGGGGGGGGAACATTTGGGATCCTCCTGTGCAGGAAGCGCCTGCGGGGTCATGGGAAACCCCTACAGCAACAGAACATCTCGGATGCTTTTGTTTCCACGCTGAGTTTATCTGTGTGGGTTATCTTCTGAAATTTGGCCCTAGGAGCTGGTTTGAGACTTGCGGGGTTTTTATGTTTGCAAAGAAAGCGTAAAGAAACGCATCTTCTCCGACGTGTTTCTTTGAGAGTTACGACTGTCTGTCTGCGTCAGGTCTGGTAGCGCAGCCTAATAAAAACTCTTGCATAATACTTTCTTATCTGATATCTTTATTTGATTATAATTTTGCCAGGCTTTCTGGGCTGGAAATGCTCCATACCAGGCGTCTGCGTTAGGCTGAGGGCACGCGCAGTAGATCCAAGCCGAAGAATCAAGCCTTGCGTTTGAGAGCAAGGATAACGGGGCAAACAGAGGCAGGATGGCGACGGGATTTTGCAGCAGCCATTTCCAGACGTAGCTGGGAATAGCAGCAGGCTCTGTGCTCCAAGGAAATGACTGTTGCTGTTCCCCTATGGCAGCCTTGGCAGCGTGTGAGGCTTTGGGAAGT